TATATATTGAATTTTAGGATAAAGGAGAACGGAAAAATGACATAGTGAAAGATATGGTATTCATTATATCGTGTGAAGAGTAGAAAGATAGTGTATCTTACGCACTAATTTTTATATAGTATAGATTTTTGCAGCTTAATGGTAAATTAGTGATAACTATTTACATGGTTATTTCAGACCTAAGTAATGCAAATTAAATTCTACATAAATCAATTTATACATTTCAATCGATTTTAATATATACATATTATTTTCACTAAAAAATATCAAAATGAATCTACGCTACTATTTGTAGCATTTGAATAAATAGAGAAGCTAAGTACAATAATCATCAAGTAACATATATGCCAAACACAAATATTTACTCCTATCAAAAGATTTAACTAAAAATATTACTTGATATATTCAACAGAAATCTAATAATTATTGAACTAGCACATTAAAACTCTAATAAATTAACAAAACAATTTACAAAACACATGCATTTGAGTTCTTTGATAATCAACTTATTTCTATATTTACGTAAAGATATTTTTCTGAACTGTATATTTTTGGTATAGTTATAATTTCAACGATAACTTGATAAGTTAAAGGATAAATTTCATTATCATGTTCACCAAATTCTCATCAAAACCTAGTAAATTTAAGAAATAACTGAATCCACTAGTATCCATGTATATAAATTTAAGAAACAATTAAAATCGAAACAAAATTATTCAGTAAATAAAAGACCAATCATATAATAGTTAGACCCGTGTGCTGTTTATGTGAAGCATGCGAACAAAGCGTAACTTATAAGCCAATTTTTTTAATTGTGCATTTTTCTCTCCGTTCATCGTTTTCTCTATCAGAAAATCAAAATTCGAAATCTCTCTCTGTCTTCTTCACCTACAACAATTCTAAACTTTAGATATGGCAGATAGTTACCGGAAAGAAGATGTTGAAGAGGCGAAGNGTCAACTATCCATGCTAATCACTAAAAATCGGTGTGATGATGCAATCCTCCGCTTGGCGTAAGATTATCTTATGTAACGTACTGACCGCCGTCGAGATATCGGTATGCAGGAGAAATCTTCATCCCCTAACATACAAGGGAAATCTTCATCCTTTCTGGAGAAATCCTCATTTC